TCTTAATCCACTGACAGTCAAAGCAAAAAAAAACAAACCCCACAGAAATTCAGCCCGTAGCGTACATTTCAGGGACCTATTGGACTCTCGAAGGCATGCACATATGAAAACATACACAACTACTTGTCTCTTTAAAGTCTTGCAACTTCCATCAGCATCTCGCCTTCTGCAAGACCCTCACCTGGGTTTCTGTATGTTTTTAACTCCTCATCTCACCACTTAAAAACTGAAAATAACACATTATACTATTTAAAAGCCAGAATTCCCAGCTCTTTTTGTGGAGCACAAAGTACTAGTCACTGAAACACTCCCATCTTAGTGTTTTTAACTGGAATTATAAAGCAAAAGTAAATAAAATAGCAGAGAGCTATATGACCGTATTGGGAAGGCCAGCTACCCAGGGCACATACAACAGCAGCTTCCAGCCTTTGTTGACTGAGAGATATCATTTCTTAAAGCTCTGGTGCCCCCTCTGCCCCTCAATTAGCCGTGGGGTTTTTGTCACTGAATCGAGATTTAACATAACAAGCCCCAAACCTAGGAACTGTTTAATTCCTGACACTGGATGTGGCTTCACTAATGTTGCTCCCACCTCTTCTTTGGCTCTTTCTTGCCCTTGAGGTAATTTCTGGTGACATTTTCATGAGATCCACTTCTAACCTTCCTCCCCCTTGAAAACATACACAGAAATATGAATGGCAGGCATGCAATCTGTGCAGAGACACAGCACAGAAACTTGCACCTTGCACTCTTTTTCTATGTAAATAATGCAAGGATCCTGCGGGAACATGCCAGGGATTGGAATTTTTAATTAATGGGTCTCTTTAATGTGCAAATCAGGAGCAGATTGCGAATTCTGACTTGCATTGATTATGAAAAACGTTAATTGAACGTGCAAGACCCCAAACAGAGGCAACATCTCAAGCCCTGGACTAGACTGGAAGATACGGTGCAAGAGAATACAAATGTATCTTGGAGAAACAGACCACTCCGGGCAGCAGCACCTCAGAACCGTAAGCTGCGGGAGTTCACGTGTGCAGTGCATTAAACATTAAACATTTGCACTGCATTCAGAGCGCAGCCACTGTGAGTTCAGTATTAAAAAATCACTCAGACTTTCTCCATGGATGCAAAACAGGAATAAACATGAGCTCCATGACCACAGTTTGGTCTCCAATTTGTATGTAAAAAGGGTGACAGAAAAAAATCCGGAATATAATTAAAGATTAAAAAAAAAGGAAAGAAAAAGTAAGACAGTGCCAACAAAGCAATGCTGTCTCTTTAAACAGAAATTCATCCTATATAAATTATGGCCATAAACTTTTCCTGCAGTGCAGCCTAATTAATTCTTGTTCTATACACAAAGGGAAATGCTGGGTGACAAATGGGTGTGAAGCCTGAAAGCTGCCAGGTCTGCAAAACATTTTCTACTTCAATTTATAAGCAATTTTGCAGTAAATCATCCACCAGAACCTGAGATCTCAGGAATCCAAGACTGTCCAAGGCACGTTGTATCATTTTATTTTTTTTTAAATATTCATAAAAGATTACAAAAATAATAAATTAAACGCTTGAAGTTTTGTAACCTCCAGTCTCAAAATTTGGAAAACAAGCAGGACTTTACCATTTTCACTCAGATTTGGCTTTAAAACTGCAAACGTTTAGAATATTGCTGTCCATTTATGTCTATAATTATCTTTAGCACAATTTTATTCAAATCCTTAGGGAATTTCACAACCACCACCACCTGGTGCAGCTGCACAGAGGGTTGTCACAAGTGAGATACACCAAAAAGGCAAACATAGGAAGGACCATTTTCCATTTCAAAAAATTCATCCTTCCTGTGAGCACAGAGCAGAAATTTCATGAGCACTGGAAAGACTTGGAATAAATTACTGAAAGCTTTCTGGGGCAGCTTTCAAAGAGATGCAAGGGACTTGTCCAGGACCTCAGAGAGAGCTGGGTGCCCTCAGCAGGCTACAGTGCACACCGAGAATCTGGATTTTTTGGCATCCATTGCTTTGTGCAACTTGAACACCAAATCACTTTCCCCTATTCAATGAAGAGATGAAAGCAGGCCAGCTTTATTCCGTGGATTTGGAAAGCAGTGCTGAGGCTTCCCTGAAAGGAGAGTATCATCCAGTCCAAAACAGCGTCAATGTCCTGATTACCCCAACTCCTGTCCAAGACTGAAGCACATCACGTACAATGGAACCACCTCCACATTCAGCATTTACTAAGTCCTGTTTTCCACTCATCTTTAAACTTACTCATGCACAGTTCTTCTAATTTTTCCTGTCTGGGGAACGGGATCCTACCCACAAGCTGGTAATACAACTGGGATGAGAACTCAGGAGTTCAGAAATGTTTACCCAGCCCACTACATCCCTGCTCAGAATCAAGGAAAAATGTTTCTTTTTATAGAAACCGCTACACTGCTTGATCAGCTAAAAATGAGGACTTTCATTTCAAGCCAACTTTTAGTAAGTGAGATTTCCCCCCCCCCTCATAAATCAAGGTGCATCAATTCATGAAAGAACTTTAAATATATTATCACGTATGTTTCCAGAAAGGACTTTGTCTCACCTCCTGAACGGACAGGTCACAGCCCCGCTATCCCGGCGGAGGCTCTGTGAATGAAGACGTAACACAGCTCAGACTGCCCACGGGGTAAAGCTCTAGCTGTTGATTAGACATGAATCCCTCTCCCAGGGCCCAACACAGCAAAGTGAGAGAGAAATGGGTCTTTGCCACATAACACCACCTACATCCCCAGTCTTTCATAAGATCTTCTAATCTTTCATAAGATCTCCATGTGTAAGTTTACTCCTCATTACACGCCTGGCACTTTGTAACCTCTGGAAAGAGCATCTTTGCAGGGCAGCGAAAGATAGCTGCACTGGACAATAGTGTAGCTCATGAAAAACAACCAGCTATTGTAACCTACTTTACTGTACAACTACAGATTGTATTTAAACAAATAGAGAAATTTAAAAAAAGGAATACAAATTTGGCCCCTTAGAGAACACTGCGAAACACTAAACAAGTGTAGTGGTAGCAGAATGTTCCTAAATTCGTTACTTCCCACCCGTCAGTCCGAGCGCTTCCCCTGCGAACCTTGCCCAGGTCACTCCAGCTTTATTTTCTTGCTGTCTTCACAGATGTAACACAGAATATGGACCCAGGCTATCAGGAACATCAGAGTATGCTACTGCAACTTTCCTGCCCAGATTGTAAGAGGAGGATGGGGAGAGAATCACTGAGCAGTTATTAATAGTGGATTTTCCTTTAGTGTTCCGGACAACTGAAAGATTACCCTCTCTGCTGCACCGTGTACAGTATTACGCTCCATGTTCCTGGCTGTATTTTGCTTGTGGGAAATATCAAAATGTCAACCATTGTTTCTGTTAAAGGTCTTTAACGATATTGCATTTTAGACCCATAATGAAACCTGGTGCTCAGTGCAGTTTGTAATGCATCTCATTAAATACATTAATAACATGCATTTCACTGAAAGGTCAGCTTAGTATTGTTGGGAGTTTGCCTTTTTTTCCTTAATCACTTCATTTACAGCAGCAGAGCTAACTTTAAAATATAAAGTATCTCACCTGCTGTAGCTCCAGATAAGCTGATTAGCTACCATGTTCAGATCAGCTATGAGCCGTAAGACCATAGTCAAAAACTCGGTGTAGGGGCAAGATTCAGGGTCAAGTTCGATGACGGTGAAAGTTCCTAATCCAGTTTTAAAACTACTTGTGCCAGCCTAGGCCAAAATTTCTCAGTGCCGCCCGGCCCCGCGTGGCCCGCAGCCACAGCAGACCAGGGGCTTCGGGTGGCGCCTCTAGCGGTCAGCACCACAGCCTGCAGGTGCCACCACCGCGTCTCCCACCCACTGGTTCACATCAGGGGGCTGCTTAGGATCCTCCACGGGGTGCTCACCTACCAAGCTGAAACCTTCCGGAAAGTGAGCAGTATCTCAAGGTCGGGAAAGAAGAAATAGAAGTGAAAGGGATAACCAACCTGGCAGGCTTTAAAATGCTACTGGGCTTGTTATTCAAAATCACTGGAAGAATATTCTATGCAGTTCATTAATTTCTGATTAGAAGTATCAGGAAAAACAAACAACCTGTGCATAAACATTGTCATTTGTGTGGTTTTTGACAGAAGACAACAAACATGTCAGGATGAAATCGACACCAACTGATACTTGCAGTAGTTTGTATTTATCCTTAAGGATAACACACCAGATTTTTATCTTAGGGCCAGTAAAAAAGGTGTCCAATTGTAAAAATTAAACAGATCCACAACACACTGAAGCTGTGTATTTTGCACTTCTCAACCAGACCATACACATTATGTTTGCCATATTGGAGAATTTACTACAAATCTCATCAGACCAGTGTCATTAATAGCAATCCTAAGAAATAAACGGATGAAGCAGCTCCAAGCTGAAAATATATCTGCTGTTGATTTAACAGCACAAGCCCTCTCCTTTGGGCTACACTACTCCTGGTCAGGGTAAATCTGCACTCACTGACCCAGCACAAACTTGGTACCACAAGGTGTCTCTGGACAAAGCAGCATCCCAACTCTGCATCGAACAGCAATAACCAAACTAATTATTCCTAAGATCCAGCAGGAAGCTTGAATTCAGTAAGCAAATTTCAATCCCCATGCGAACCAGAAATCAGAACTTGGCAGTGGCACCTGCGCTGAGGCTTTCCAGCGTTACGCAAGCGACGACAGGCCTGCTGCAGACATCACCTAGGCATACACAGACATGGGCGAGAGGAGAAGTTATCTCTGTCTGGGGTAGGAAACACTTCTTGGTTTCTGCTTGCACGGTATCTGATTAATGATTAAGGCAATACAAACCAACAGCTAACACCACAGGCACATACAACAAAGCCCTCGCTTTCCCATTAACCCTTCCTCGTACAGGCAAAACATATTGGCTACAGCAGACTCTACCCAAAGTAGAAAGATTGAAGAATTCTTACAGTTCTCGACAGCATTGTCAAATTCTTGTCCACCTTCCTTTCTGAAGATTGGGTAAGTATCTGGCTGTGGAAGACGGTTGACTGTTATGAGTGCCTTCTGCATCTTGATCCTCACTTCCAATAGTTGATCCCACAGTGCTTCATAATAAAGAGAAAATAAAAACAATTACTTAGCAAGCCAAAGCACTTGCTCCTTGTGAAGGAGCTGTTGACTTAACAGCACAGGCCCTCTCCTTCGTGCTGTATTACTCTGGTTAGGGCAAACGTTTGCATGCACTGACCCAGCACAAAATGGTCCCACAAGGTGTCTCCGGACAAAGCAGCACCCCATCCTATGATCCTGACTGCAATTCTACGATCCGCAAAAAAAAAAGTTATCCCTTTGCTTTACTGTTTAAAAGAACACTTTGCAAATGGAAGTTTGAAAGTTTAACAGGACACATAGGAAGAAACTGCATTCGGTATTACATTTCAAAAAGAAACAGAAGCAGTACCAGCACCACCGCACAGCACCACCAGTGTAGGAAGTCCCTATCCCCACCAACACTACAAGTATATTCACTAGTGGTTCAATTAAGCCAGTGGATAAATACACTTCATAACATGAGATTCTGTAGCAGCAGTGATGCCAGTTTGCACAGCAGATTTTGCAGAACATTTGCAAATCACTAGGGCTGCTGCAGCATGCACACGCAGTACGCTAACAGCACGTTAACGTGCTGAAGTGGTTGCTAACATAGCCAGCTTCTGTAGTGTCAGCAAGGTGAAAGTCTTGTCAAAATACAAAGTAAACATGCACAAACCTAGCTGGTTCTTCACAGCTTTTCCTTTTTCTACTTCTTCAGCGTCTTGTCCTTTTGAGAATGTCATCACCCCCCCATCACATTCATCATCTTTGGTTTCCTCTATGTTGTCATGGTTTTCACTCCCATATTCCTCCTCCTCACTTCCTTCTTCCATGCTGGCATCATCTTCACCTTCCCCTTCACTGCCTCCTACATCATCCATCCCCTCTGTAAACGTCTCAAAGTCTGTGATATTCTGGAAACTGAACTTCGGTGCCTTGGCCTCGACAGATGGATCTGCCTCTTCATCGTCTTCCAAGTCATCCTCCTGGTCACTGCCAGCAGTGCTGGACTTCTCCTTTGTTTGAGTGCCTAAGCTGTCGTTGTCTTCTGAATCTTCACTGCCACTGTACCATAAAAAAGTTATTTACTTAAAGCAAAATGTGCCACTTCACAGCATGCATCACAATAGCCACAGGTTTGGGCTAGTGGAGCTCCAAAGTCCATTTTATCTGCGTATGATGTTACTCTTCATTTTGGCTAAATAATGGAAACACAAGGCCATATCCACAGAAAGACCTCAGCTCACGTTTTCTGCAGCAATGATTCGTAGATCCACATCTTAGCTTTCCCACGAAACAATGCCAGGATAAACAAACCAGGCAGTTAGAATTTGCTATATGCATTTTTAATATAAAATGTTCAGTCAGTGCACTGAACCTCATCTTACATTGAGTCACTCTCTTTCCTCAATCCGCAGAAGTGACCTCCTCTTCGGGATTCCCCCTTCCCTCAGGCCAAAAGACAGGGCCTGAATTTCAGGAAGGCACCTCTAGAAGATGTCCAACTAACTGTACCTGTTTATTGCCCTGTAACAGCGACCTAAAGTTTGTCTTCTCAGTTCAGATAGCACTAGCTCAGTTAACATGCTAACATCAAATTTTGAGTAGTCTAGTGAAAAGGGGAAAGAAATGAGATTTCTTACCAGATCCTTCTTCAGATTGAGCATCTCCCCAAAGTTCTTCTTGCAAGGCTTTGCGAGATGTAGCTTTTCCACTGTACCTTTTATCAGCTTCCAAGAGAGAGGCTGAAGCTTTTTTTCGTATATTACCAACAGGGAAAATGTCATCTGCAGTTTCATCCTCAAATTTGTCAACCACTTTAGCAACTGTAGCTGTGGAAAAAAAAGGGGAGGGAAGGGATGTCTAAACTGAGCTGAATTTCAGACTAGAAGAATGAGCTGCAGGAAGGAACCATGGAAAACTCCTCACGCTCTACAAACAAAAATACACTGCAAAGATGAGCTGGGTGGCAACATGGCCTCACGTAAGAGTCTGGCTTTTAGGCTTTGAGAGGGAGCAAAGGCTCTTCACTGCCTGGTGAAGGATAGCCAGTACACTAATTTTCTGCAAATGGGGCAAGGTTGCTGAGGAATCAAAGGCAGAGAAAAAAGCCTCAAAGCAGAGTTTTGTGTAGATCAGCACCAGTCCTGCCTAGAAATTACCGAGTAAAGTAGTACTTTAGATGTAGCAGACGAGATAAGACAAGGGGTCCAAGGGTATTTTTCAAAAAACACCCCTTGACTTCTCTGCAGCCAGAGGCATTCTCCCCCCTGCCAGGTTAACCTCTGCAGAAGGAAGGGAGATGTTACATGAACTGCTCAACTCTAACCGCTCTCTCAGTACTCTGGACTTCTGCATATACAGGTTTGGCACCACAGGGCTCATCTGTAATGCAGAGATCAATGTTTATTAATAAATGCCAAAAATCCTACTGATCTGGGGGGGGAGGGGAAATGAACATTGTCTACATTTACACTTTCCTCCCTGTCTCTTCTTAATTTTAGAGAATCCGCACAAAATGCTCGACAAACTAAACCTACCCAAGCCCTCCCACAGATTCCCGAGGGTCTCATGAGAAACACAGTCCTCTGGGTGGAAGACTCCATAAAGCTGGAATGCCTTCACTTCACGCTTACAGATTAAATGGGGAAAACTGCAAATCACATGCCCTTTGGTCTCCTGCTATATATATGAGCCACATAAATACGTAAACATTTTAGAATGGCTAAACAGATAAAATAATTTCACTGTGGCTATTGCCCTCTTTCACAGCCATCTTCTCCAGGACATAGGAATGGAGCAGTCCAAAGAGAACACATCATACCATACTCCCTCCTGATTTTTATTCATGTGCAAGGCACCCTGTATGCAAAATTACAGGGTTAGCTTTGTTCAACCAATTGAGTGATCCAACTGGCTGAACATCGCTAAGTGCTCTTTTAATGTGTGTTTGGAAACGTTAATGTCTCCCATACAGTGTTTACATGAGGTGCAGGGGAGGCAAAAAAAATCTCTTGCTCATAATCAAAGCAACAAGATCAGGTCTAAATACAGTCACTCCAGCTACAAGAGGATGGCAAGATGCTTGGCCTCAAGGAATGACTGGGCAAGAGGGGCAGATACAGAATTACCTGGGGCACTGAAGCATCTTCTGGCATTCTCAGTCTTGGCACCACTAAAGTATGAAGTCTGAAACTAAATCATTATTACCCAAATGGAAAGCCTCTCTGCTGACTACATCCATTTCCTCAATGGTTACTAAGACGTTGCTTACGAGATACTATTGCTCTCTCACACACTGTAGAGAAGAACCAGGAGAGCTGGCACGACGTTTACCATGACTGGAGCCCAGTACCTCCTAAAGCCAACTGTGGTCAGTGTGGGATGATTAACTTGCTGTCTCCAGGGGCAAGTGCGGGAACTGCAGACATGTCCCAGGCACAAGTCCTGGGCCGGTGGCTTGGCTGGTCTATGGGGACCTCTGCTCTGGAGAGGGTAAGTCAAGCAAACAGCTGGCACCAGATGACACAGCCACCTACATGTCATGGCGAAAGAGGGGAATATCTCAAAAATCATAAGGCAAAAAGAGCTTGACTGAAAGTAGAAATGCCCACTGGCAAGCACCAAACGAGTCATGCGCCGGGCGCTGCGGCTCTGCCTCCTCCCCAGCCCACAGCCACGCCGGCTGCGCTTCGCTGGCAGAGGACACAGCCCTGCCCCGACGCTGCGCTTTTATCTCTCTTTTCCTGGAGGGCGCCACGCGGACCCGGTCAC